GGTTCATGGGGTCACGAAGAGTCGGACACGACTTAACGACTAAACAACAACAACAATGGTAAAAGAAGGAAAGGAAAACAACTGAAAACCAGGAAAGAAAAGGAGAGAAAAAAAATCTGGTGCCAATAAAAATGATTTTCAGATAAGGCCCTTTTAAAATGGGCACTACTAAACAAAATTGTAGAATGACCGGTGTTTTCTTTTTACATACTTTATTTGAGGGAAAGTGAATGTTGATGAGGCACTGTATTTTGGTTATTCAACATGAACAAAAATACATTTTGTAAAAGAATACTAACTTATAATGCATATGCTATCTCTGTAATGCTAAAACGAGTCTAATAACTTGCAGCAAAAACCTTTAGTTGTTAAGAGTCAGATAAACTGTGAGAATGTTAATGTACATGAAAGTATAAAATGAACCAATTATTTTAAACAAGAATTATCCCGTCTTTTCTTTCTCATTAGTACAGGTTTTTTTTAAATTTTCTTTTACTTTTCTTTACTTGTTTTTCTTTAAATTTGTATTGTTTTTACTTTCTAAAAAACGTTAATAAAAATATACTTTTTTTAAAAAAAAAAGTACAGTTTCTGTTTCAGCCCTAGTTTCCTAGACTCTGTTTAGCATTTAGAAATAATATAAGCATTTTATGTTTTGCTTTACAAAATGAATTTTTATTGCATAACAACTAATATAAAATGCATCATCTATTTTCATGTTTTACTTGAACAGATTTATACGTTAAAAAAAGACCAAAGACACTACAAAACAAAAATGATTTTGTTCTGTAGTGTCCTTGATAAAGAATTTTATCCAAAACATATCAGACATTTATATAAACAAACATTTTCACCAGCACTTGGGATTTCCTTTCCCCCTCTTCTTTCTTAGCATTAATGCAAACATCCAAATTGAATGACATTGAGAAGGTGTAGAAGAACAAGGTTTAGGTATTTATTTTAACGCCAAAAAGAAAATTGCATCAATTGCAAGCAAGACCAAGCAAAGTTTAAATGTCAATTCAAGGCCAATTTCCATTAGAGAAATTTTCTATGTGATCTTAGAAACAGACCTGCTGGATTGGACAAAGCTCTATTTAATCTAGTTGCCTGTTTCTGAAATGGCCAAGCAGATGCCTCTGTAATATTGATAGGCAGGTCAGGGAGGCCTTGTCCCACACTGCTGCTTATCTCCAAACAACTGGAATCTAGTGGCATATTGAATAAAGATGTTCAATCTTTAATCTGTAAGATTAAAGATTGAATATCAGCAATACTGAATAGAAATGATAGACTTACCTATCTTAAATTGTTTAATATGGAATTATCTTCATTACTGTTCAACACTACTTCCTCTGGCAGTAAATTCCACTATATATGCATGTCATGAGACCCCTCCTTTTATCTACCTCAGTCTTCTGCCAATCATTTTCACTGAATATTGTTGAATCTAATATTCAAATAGATTCTCTATTCTCAGTAGAGAATTCTGAGCCACTTAGAAGCATTAACATAATTTTAAAGAGAGGTAGCTAAGTATCAATAAAACTGGAAGGTGTTTCTCAGTCATAATTAATTTAGGCCAGTTTCCTCCCCTCCCCCCTTCAAGAGTTTATGTGCATACATGTGCATGTATATTTTAGCCAGATAGCCATGTATTAAAGACCATCTCAAATCTTAGGCTGAATAAACAAATACACTCACCCATTATGCTACATAGCCTATATCATGCTAGATAGTACGTAAACATGACTAAATTAATAGTCTTTGGCCTCTAGCTAAAGAGTGTATTGTGTTTGTCCTTTAATTTGCTGCAACCTGAATTCTGTCTTACTACTTGCAAATGGATGCAAACCAGAAACTCCATTTCAAATAATAATAATAATATGAATATAAATAAGTGTTATTTACAGTGGGGTTTGATTTATCAACAAGTTCAGGGCATTCCTGATAGGAAGGCCTCAATATGCATGTTTCTTTTTCAATAGTCCCCATGCGAATGTGGATTCACTGAAAATTCTGTCCATTAGAATACAAAAATATGTTTTATAACAAAGGAATTTATGGATTTAAGTTAATGAAAAGACTCCTAGCCAAAATAGCAGCACACTCTAGGGCATATTTACAGTTCACTAAATATCAGGTCACTGAGAATATATGACTATTATTGGTGCATCATTCTTATGTTTGGCAAACTTGTGAAGGGCAACAGTGTTTAAGTTGCATATAAAATCAACCAATTTAAAGCTACAACTTCTTGCATGTTATTTCCCAAACTACTGTAATATTTTTTGGCCATATGCTCTCACTACAGTGGTCGAGCACCCACTGTTATAACTGGTGTTACAGTTTTGGAGAGAGGCAATGAGATATAACTATGGTTGGTCTCACAGTCAGCCAGATGTTTAGACTGGATTTGGCATTTTTTATCCACCTATTGAGCTCTTCCCAAGGACATGGAATAGGCAGATGTGGCTGTTTGATGTTGTTAAAGGTATCATCGCAGTATATAATAAGGATATGATAATGATGATGATGATGATGGTTGGTTGCACAATCAGACAGATATTTAGACTAGATTTGACATTTTTATCCACCTGTTGAGTCCTTCCCACGGACCTGGGATAGGCAGATGTGGTTGTTTGATGGTGT